AATGTTTCAGAAGGGCAACCAGCAGAGCAGAGTGTGGTGATATCCAGGGTTCCCTGTCGCTGGAGTCATTTGTTCCTTCAGCGCCGCATAAAGGGTCAGATACTTCTGAAGCAAACAAGCGGGCCACTGCAGAGAAGCTTCATTTGTTTGCCCCTGGTTTGGTCGGTTTTCTACGCCCTTCGTCTTTCGGCTCAATCCATCTCTCCTTCAGGTCCTTCAGGCACGGAGTTGGGCCCCCAGATGTCAGCCAGGCCTCACGTGAGCTGCATATCATTCTACGTCTCTTTCTGTCTTGATTTTCCCTGTCGCCAGTCATCGATTAATCTGCCTTTCTTGACTGTCGGTTAGGATACAGATATTTCCGTTTCTCTCTGTGTCTGGTTTCCATCTCTTCACTCGCCTCCTTCCCTCGTAATTTTCCTTCTGGCTTTGTCCGTTTGTGTCTTCCGCCTTCCCCGTTTTGGTTTAGCCTTTATGCTTGTTGCGACTGCCAGCAATGGGCGATTTTGTGTTGCTTTGGCCGGTTTCATCTATCATCGTGTCTCTGTCTAGCGTTGTTGCGATTTTCAATCCCTGTTTCTCGGCTTTTGTATGTCTTCTTAATATCTTTGCAGTTCCCCTTACCTGCTTGTACTTTGCTTTCTAGTGTTCTGACTGATTCACTATTCACCTCGGTATGCGGCTACGGGTTGCTGTCTTTATGCGTATGCCAAACTTGCGTCCATTTGTCTACGCCCTCTTGTCTTATCTTTCTCGCGGATATCTTTTTCGTTGGTGCAGTTTGTCTGCGGCCGTCACATTTTTCCCTTCGATTTTGGTCGAAGTCGTTCTCTTTGTTGCTGCGTCAGGCCTGAGGCCTGATGACGGCCTTTGTCAATATTTCCTTCCCCGTAGCAGCGTTTATGCGGCAGTATTTGTCCTTTCTGTTTCTTAGTGCTTCTCTGGGTGTCGTTCCATGTCTTCCTGTGCTGGTCTGTGTGTATGCATATCTCCTGAGTTCTGGCTGCCTCGGCATCTCCCCGCCCTTGCATCTCACCAGCAGCCGTCTGTCTGCATTGTTTGCACCCTTGTGCAATATGAGGCAGTCGCACTTCGTGAATGCCATGAATAAGCGATATAGAGTGTTTTTGTAGATACATGTATACAAGTTTCGGGGTTGTGTTCTCTGTAGAAACACAGGGGAGAGAGAAAAGCAAGGGAACCTTGTGTACAATTGCACGCATGGTTCAGCATATGTACGAGCAAATGTGCCCGTAAAGGGGGGTGCGCTAATTGGCACAAACGGGTGAAGCCAACAATGGACAGATGAATATGGGCAAAAGGGGTAACAGCGCACCTGCAGAGAAACCTTTCAAAGAATTGCTTACTAGAAATTCGCGTCTCAACAATCATAACGATGCAGGCGGAACCAAGAGCACATGCACAAGCATACGAACAATCAGATGAGCAAGCCGACCGACAAGCAAACAGAAATTACGGCCAAATTGGCGCTCAAACAACGAAACGAACATAAAGCTTGTCCTCATGCTTACCTACCCCTTGGAAGCTTCAGGAAGGAGCATACGAATGAAATGGATCAAGTGCGCTGGCGCTGCTGGTTACGGCCTCATACAGCATGTGGGCATCCTGGATTGCTCTTAAGCATCCCAGTTGCTGGAGATTGTCCAGCTGCGGCAGTTGTTGCTGCTGCGACAGCTGCAGGTAAGGGTCGCAGCTCATCCGCCGCATATATTGCTTTGCGTGTTGCCGCTGGCACAGCTTGACAACCAGCGCGTTCATCAATCTGGACGGCAGCACCACCCCCAACAGGGACAGCAGCAGCGATATCATTGTTATCTTTCCTTCCATCAAATCCTTTTTTTTCCTGTCATCCGTACTCTTCATGCTATGGCTGCTCGTGACTAGTAGGAGGAAACAGAGGGCTGTTGCAGGCTGGCTAGCCAGCTGGCTGGACGGCTAGCTAGCTACCTACTTAGGGGTGAGAGGCTATCTATCTGCATTCTGCCTCAGGGCGGCAGACATTGCTGCTACCTCCACTGCTGTTCTTCTCGCACTTGCTGCTGGTCCAGTTCCAGGGTTACTCATTGGCTTTCCCGCTCCAGCAGCGCTTGATGTGTTTTGCGCGTTGTGGCTGCCTGAAGTGTGTATCTTTTAGAGACAATTTTTGTTGCGTCTCCTGCTGATTGTACACCTCTAACGCCTGCGTAGGGTCCCGCAGGCTGCTCATTTGGTGACGCTGCCGCTGCTGCCGTCGCTGCGCCTGGCGTTGCATCTCCTGCAACTGATGCAACACTAACAATTGCTTCTAGTTCTAATCGTTGGCAGGAAGTTGGCGCTCACTTCCAGTTTTGCGTCATACCACAGACGAAACCTACGAGAGAAGAACAGTCACGCCTGCTGCTGTGCTGCTGCTGCTGCTCCTGCTGCTGCTGCTTTTGCTACTGCGGATAGTGGTGGCCTGTGCTTTTGCCGCTGCCTCACGACGCTAGCAGCAGCGGCAGTAGTCCCGCCAGCAGAAGGTGTATAAACAGCAGCGGCTAGAGAAGAAGTGGGAGTGTTCCAAAAACTGTGCGGCAGCTCGTTTTTGCTGGGGTTCCCCAGCCAGTTGGGAGCTGACCGTTTCGTTGGCGCGAACGCAAACACCAACAGCAGCAACAGAAGCCGCAGCAGCGGCAGGTGGCAGCGGATGCAGGCTTAGTTGCCCACGGGGCTGTCTTGTTACAATCATAGTGCCCCTCTGTCTGTTGAAGAACGCCACCAGCGGACAGGAAATCCCCAAAAGAAAGACAAGCCCCTTCAAGCCGCTGAGGAAGGCAAATGCTGTCTGCTATTGCAGCAACAGCGCCAACAACACGCATGAAGCAGATGTATCTTGCTGCTGCAGCCGCAGCTGCTAAAGCCGCTGATTCCTATGCTTCCAATGGGGCTGTCAGGAAGCAGCGTGTGCTGCAGCGGCGGATAACATTGCTAACAGGACTAACCGGGACAGCAACAAAAGCAGCAACAAAAGGTGCAGCAACAATAGCGAAACCAGGCAGCAGAAGTGTATGCGCAATAAAGTGAGGCTGAAGCGCGCTCATTAGCCCTCCCCTTTTTGCGGAGACAGACACACTTGCTGTGAGGAAACGATAGCGTCGTCGTGTTGCGGCCACAGGAGGCGAGCTTAGCAGCTGCAGGTGCTGGCGGACTGCATTAGCACCAGCAGCAGCGGCAGCTGCAGCAAGCACTGCTGAAAGGAGGCCAGGCGGGCAACTGGTGCCTGGAAGGGCGTGCCTTCCGCTGAGCGTCAGGCTGTCGGCTCCGCTACTGGTGCAGCTGCTGCTACTGCTGCTGTTGCCTCCTGTGCAGCAGAAATAGCTGCATGTGGCAGTCGAGCAGAGAGAAAAGAAGCCGATGCTGCTTCAAGTAGTTGTCGACGCCCTGTCGCACACCCCCTTGCTGTTTCTGCTGCCGCTCATTGTGTCCCCTGCTGTAAATCTCCTGCCTGAGGTCTTACCTCATCCACTGCTTCGGCTGCTGTTCGCATTAGCAGCCACTTCCTCAGATGCATCGCAGCTGCCTTCTGATTCTGATGCTGGTCCTGCTGACCAGGCGCACAGCTTTTTGCGTGAGCAACGTGGGGAATCTTCGCTGCACGCCTTGCTTGTTGCATTCAATGCTTATGCGTCTGTTTACGCCTTTTTCCGTTTCTCTGCTGCTCTTTGCGTGCCTCTCCTTTGTCAATTTGCATTTTCAGCCACTTTTCTTCGAGGTGGTGTTGCCTTCTTCAGCAGCAGGGGTATTTGTCGAAGGACTCAGATGCGTGCCATGGTGAATCGCAACCCCTAAGCTCAGCCCCTGGGTCCTTGGCCCTAAGCCCTAACCCCCAAACCCTAAACTCTAAACCCTAAACTCCTACGCCCTAAACCCTAAACCCTAGACCGTAAAAACCATAAACCCTAAACCCTAAGACTCTAAAAGCTGAAACAGCTACTCCACGACGACACACGTTGTGCCCTCTGAAGTTACTGTTGTCCCAGCTAAGGCATTTAGGAGTTCCTCGTCTCCCCGCCGGTGGCCTATCGTTGGTGCATATCCAACACTGAACAGAAAAACGGCTGAATGAATATCTGATGGATCTTCATTTCAGTTATCCAAAGCATTTGCCTTTCGGCAAAACAACGATCTCCCTCAGACCGCCGAAAATTGTGCGGAGGCGCTAAGCGCTCCTCTCCGCTGCCTCTATCTGTCACGCGGTCACATGGACTGCAGCACATATCGTCGCCCCCAGGGCCCTTAGGGGCTGCAACTGAGCGACAATGGTTCTGCATCAGCTGACCTCACCTGTCTCTAGTTGCCCTGAGCACAGATGCTCAAGGCCCTGGGGGGCGGAAGAGGTCTTTTTCAAGTTGCAGCATTTCTTGCTGTAATTCGTGCTGCAGCAAGGCAGCTCCACGCACAAACATCCCTAAATCCCCTTGTCGAACAATATTGCCACCGTCTTCGTCAGACACTTCCTTTTCCTCCCTGAGACAACAAAACAAAAGCAAATGCGGATGCATGCCCTCCGCTCCGTAAGGTTCTGCTGCTGCAAGAGGCCTAATTAAACACAGCCCCAGAGCAGCTTATTAAATGTGGATGGTAGCAAATGAGCTGTCGCTAGGCTATATATGTATATTATATAGATATATATATTATATATATGAAAGCTTCATGCCGCACACCAGGGGCTGCAGCACGTGCCAACGCACGCCGCCTTGTGACTCATATCCAGCAGAGCGCTTGGCCCTCACTGCCCTTAGGGCGTCACCCCGACTCGGATAAGATAAGGGCTTAACGCTGATGCTTCAGTAGTTGGCGGCTGTGGGTCAAACTTTGGTGGGTAGCTGCGGCCGCAACGTAACACCGGACCATCCCTGACCAAATTGAAGCGTACAGCGGCTGCAGCTGCTGCAGCCGCCACACCTGCCATAGCTGCTGCAGCTGCTGCCGCATTCATAAGTTGAGTTGGCCTTGAGAGAGTCAGCAGCCACTGAAGGAAGTCGGCAACCCCACGGCTGCTAGGGCAGCGGCGTTCGGATTGGCTTCCAGCCTGTGTTTGCCGGTGTTGTCGCTTGTGCTGCTGGCGTGGTCCCGCCTGCAGCAGCAGCTGCAGCACTCCTCTTTTCCTTCTTACGCTTCTTCAGCTCTTGCTCCCTCTGGAGTTCTTCTGGGCGTCGCTTGACCCTTTCAAATTCATCTTCCGCCTCCGCAGCCCTCCCTTCGGCTCCTGCGCTGCCCGAAAGGGCCCCGAATCCCCCTGACGTTCCCTGAGCGCCTCCCCCTTGCTGCTGCTGCTGCTGCTGCTGCTGGTTTACAGGCGCATCCACTTTTGTCTTTGGGTTTGGGGCTCCAAGCCAGCCCCCGCCGTCTGCCGCGCTGCCTGCAGCTTGGCCTTAACCCTAGCCAAGGGCACCCGCTCTACGCGCATACCCATTCCTGTGTACATACACCAGCGGCGCAACAGCAGAGAGCAACGGCAACAATACGTGCTGCAGCAAATAAAGAAACCACGACTCTCCAATAAGAAGAGAGTGGACAAAGAAGAAACTCCCTGAAGACACAAATGAGCTGCACATACACCTGGGGCCAGCCCGGCATGCAAACAAACGCAGAAAAGAATACCCACCGAGAAGCTGGTTGTGGTTCCGGCCGCTAATAGGATCCAAATAGGCTTGTGAGTCCTTGCACAAACACTCGCAAATGTAGCACCAAAACCTGCATGCAGCGCCAACACAACAATGCTGCGGACGCTGCAGCCGCTGCTACTCCTGCTGCTGCGCTTCCTGCTGCTCTAGCTGCAGCTGCAGCAGCTGTTGTTGCGGTTGCTGCTGCTGCTGCTGCTGCTCGTTCGTTTGGAAGTGCCGATATACAAAATGCGCAGTCACTTCAATACACAACACAGCAGCAGCAGCAGCAGCATGGTCATCAACGGCAGCAGCAGCAGCAGCAGCAGCAGCAGCCAGACGGCTTGTAGCAGTAGGATGAGCGCAAGTGTGGCGATATTAACAGCAGCACAAACAAGTTCACGAGCGTGAGCCTCATCAACAGCAATGGCAGTAGCAAAAGGAGTACAACCCAGATAATAATGAACAGCAGCAGTACGAAGCCAAACAGCCTAGCACTGACACTCCCCAACCAGCAACAACAATGGCAGCAAGAGCTCCCGCAGCAACAAGAGCAGCAGCAGCAGCAGAAGGAGCAGCAGCAGAACGTACCCACCCCGCTGCATCCTGGGGGTCTGCAGGGTGACCATTTTCGTGCGGCTGACTTCTCTCTCGAAGTCATGTTTAAATGCGCGCTGCTGCAGCTGCTGCCGGTAGCCGCACGCCGGCAGCGGCGGCGATTTGGAATTCTCTCTGGGTTTTGGTAGCAAGTGTAGAAGATGTTCAACTCCCAGCAACAATGCCTTTTCCTTCGCTTTCTCCTCGCAGTAGTTCTTGTCCCACACCTGCCCCCGAAGTAGCAGCACCAGCAGCAGGTTCAGCGCAGCTGAGTGCGTCCCCTGCTGCTGCAGAAGCAGCAACTGCTTTAGCAGCGGAAACACCTGCAAATGGGGAGGTAAACTCAAGCAACAAGTATTGCTGGGAAATCAGCAGCAAATGCTGCAGCACATGCTGCAGCAAGCGATACGCGCAACAGTACATAAGGCAACGGAAGACAAAAAACAGCAGCAACGGCAGCAGCAGCAAGCATGAATGCAACCAACCACCGACACTCCCCAGAGCCGCCCCAACTGCCGACACCCGCTGCTGCTTCTCCCGCCGCTACTGCTGCTGCTGTTGCTGCTTCTGCTGCTTTCGTTGTGCATTTGGTTGGCGCCTCAACCTGCGTCCTAAGTTGTCCGTTGCCCCCTGGGGACCCAAGCGGTCATGCTCAGGTTTCTGACAGGGGTGCTGCTGCGCCACTGATGCTGCTTGACCTGCGGCAGCACTGTGGGAGCCCTATCCCCCCGTGATGAGAGCCATACGCTGCGGCGCTGCATCAATGCCATCCGTGGCATTCATTGGCTAAAGCCTCAACCCTAAACGCCTGAACCCTAAACCCTAAACCCTCAGACCAGAAACCCTAAAACCCCTCAACCCTAAACCCTAAACCCTAAAACCCTTAACCCTAAACTTAAAATCATAAACCCTAAACCCTAAAACCCTAAAACAGTAAACCCTAAACCCTAAAGCCCTAAACCCGAAACCCTAAGCCCTAAACCCTAAACCCCTAATAACTAAACCCTAAACCCTTCTCCCCTAATAACTAAACCCTAAACCCTACACCCTAAACCCTAAACCCTAAGCCCTAAACCCTACACCCTAAAACCCTAAGCCCTAAACCCTAAACCCTAAAGCCTTAAACCCTAAAACCCTAAACCGTAAATCCTAAAACCCTAAACCCTAAACCCTAAACGCTAAAACCTAAAACCCTAAAAACCTAAACCCTAAACCCTAAAACCGTAAAGCCTAACCCTTTTTTAACAGTTATGATTATAACGTCTCGTTAAACAGACGAATCTGAGACCGATGACCCGCTAACCCTCCCCTGGATGGCGCCGTACACAGTTTGCGCCGCAAATTCAGTGTGACCAATGCGAAAACAAATACTGTCTCGCACACGCATAGCGCCCATGGAACATCCCCGCTCCCTTATATACCAACGAAGAGCCCGCTTGAGGCGAAATAGCTGGGATTGTATTTTTCTTACCCAATGATGCTATTGTTGGTGCCTTCGTTGCAACCAATTGCCGCTGAAGCGACAGGAAGACAACCACTCGCCAGCGTCTGCGTGCTGTTGTCGATGGAAGACTCTCAGAAGCGTAACGGTGTATCAGAATGCAGTGTGCCTTTTTTAATAACACTGTTATTTAGCAGGCCGTTTGCATCGTCAATTTCTGTGCACATTCGTGTCGTGAGTCGTCGAACGTCAGAAGCGACCATCGTGAGCTGCGACCGAGTCAAACGACTTGATAAGAATCTCCCAAACAACATCTGAACTGACCCCTCGCCCTCAGGCGTCGTCCCACAGCCGCCCAAGTACCTGGTTTTGACGCGTAGCGCAGCCAGCATACCATGAGTGTAAGCACTGCTCGTTGCAACCACTGCTGCAAGGCAACCTCACATGGAAGCATACCCAAGTATCCTTCCAACGCATTAACTCTGCATACAATTTTTAAGCATGCAGTTGGCGCTCTGTTGTCAACCTATGCTCATGCACAAGGCTTTGTACTAACTTCAATCCAGTTAGTCAAATCTGCTTAGGGCCGTCATCTCCAGACGCAAAGCCCTACGGAAGCTGGCATTTGCCAAAAAGCCGTGCCGCTTTGCACAGCAGTGAATACACTTAGAGAAGCGGAAACTACAGATACTGAAAACCGGAGAGAACGAGTAGAAACCCACTTCAGCGAACAGAGAGAGATAAAATGTACTTCCAGATGGGTTCTTTAGCACTTTACGCTTCCACGCGTAAGAAACTGTTCAGAAAGCAGACATAAACCAGTAACTTCCAGGATTTCGGAGTTTAGGGTTTTATGTCTTATACTATGTATACAAGACCTTACGGTAATAAGGCTTGTCCGCAGACTTCAGCGCGGCACGACGGAATGGCCCACTTGCATTCGAACTATTCGCAACCGTTAATGGGGAACCCACAAAGAACTCACTACGGCAAGCAAAGGCCATATTAAACCGTTCGAAGTCGTTCGAAATCCGTGTGCTAATCTCAAACCCTAAGACCTTCTATCTTCATACAAAGTTTTGGCATCTAGTTCTTAAACCCAAGGTCCGGGAACTCAGTAGGTTTGGATTTACATTAATTTTGCCAGCCTTCTGGAGAGGCCATATGCTTAAAATACAGACAGCCAAGCTAATCCTGTTCGACTATCCCCTCCCAAGAAAAGTATGACGTTTGGCGAAGCCCGGTATCCTTGCAGTTTCTCACCAGAAGCTCAGGGCAACCGTACAGTACACCTTACATGTCGTTGAGCGTACAACCCTCGACATGTTTGAATTAAGATTGACAAAAAGTATTCAAATTCTGTGGTACTCAGTTTTGTTCACGCAAAACGCTCTACTCCATTATGCGCCTTGCTCCCCACTGGCAAGCACAAAACAAAATAACCCCTCCTCATTACTGCCGCGACTGCGCGAGACTGGCGCCCCCGCTTGCATGCAGAAAAAGATACGTGCTCCCAGCGCAGAGACGGGGCTGGCGCTCAGGCCCACCAATGCCTGCCTTATGCGCTCACCTCTGCGGCATGTACACGGGGACCCGCAAGCAGGCTGCCAAGACCGGCAGGAGCACAGGATGAAGCTCAAAGCCTCCACGGCAAAAGCCAACACGCCTCCTCTGTGTATTAAAAGCGTGTTAGAAGCTTTCACTGCAAGACATGCCAGTCTAATGTGACGGTTAATGAGCAGTCTGTACAAATGCAGAGTCCCACCGGCAGCTTGCGCCGCATAAAGCAGTCCTGCGACCCAAAAGAGGCTGACGAACGCCAAATGAGCCTAGACTCAGCAGTTGCCTGAAGCGCAGGAAGCAACCGCGCATGAAACCCCGAAAACGGCACCCACGCCACATTCACTTTCGTACAGCGAATTTAACGGCCCGGATGAGAGACACCAAGGTCGGCAGCACGAACGGCAGAAGCAGCGGCACATTCACCGCCAGGTTAAAGTGAAGCGAGAAGAAAGGCGCAGGCTCTAGGCTACCGTCCGTCAGGAGCTGCATCCCAAGCACAAACACACACACACTATAAAATATTTGCCTACATACGTCCACGCCTACACAAATGTGCATTAGGCATGCACTGCTCGAGCCACATCGCATAAATCTGCAGTCATAAGCGAAAATACGCACAACGAATACCGAGAGGATACACAATTATTAACTCCTGCTCCCCTTTCTTCCAACTCACCGCTGCTGAATCTTTCACGGCCGCACGCGCCAAGAGCAGCGCCAACTGTCTGTACACCGCGACCTTCCGTAAAGAAGACCTCCTTCGCGAATCGCCGCACCCGCTTGCTCGTCGAGATGTTGGGTCAGAGGCAGCCAGCAACGGGGCGCTGTCAGAGTCTCCCGTGGGGCAAGTATCCGCTTCTGAATGCAGAAGAAACACTTTCGCTGCCGCTGGCAGCGTGGTGCACTGCTGCATGCGCAAGGCCTGTAGGCTGCACTGTATTTGATTCAGCACACCCTGCACAGCAGCCAAACAAACGCAAATACACAAGAACACGGTGTTGCTTCACTGGTCCCGTCCGATTCACCGTGATTAGCAGCAACGTACATCAACGCCTTCTGCTGCTACCCAACAGTCCCGCTGTGTTGTCGCAACCTTCTTCGAAAGGCCTCGGTATCATTAGGATGCAGATGCCTTTGGAGGCACTCTGCTCCTGCCAGCATTTTAATTATTGCTCATCACGCGCATCTTCGCGGGGGGACGGCTAAATACGTCCTTTCTTTTATATAGCTCTGCAGCAGCGAAGTTTAGGAAACCCTTGTCTACTCTACTACCAGTAGCTTAAGGTCAGACTCGCGCCCCGTTTAGTTCAGAATAAAGCCTAGGTTAGCCGTTAGCAGACGTGTGAGCGGTCCTTGCGATGGAGGGATAAAAACGCGCACTACGACCTCTTACTTGCATGGCTTGCGCCACGTGCTTTGCGATGCGAAGGTCAGTCCCTGAAAGCAGCACCGTGTGCAGCGTGTAGATGTTCTTTGCTGCTTCGGTAATCATTCTGAAGTGCGCTTCAGCCGTCAAACCACCAAGCTCCCACTCAGTCAAGCCCCTGCTGCTCGGGTGTAAGTACACCCCGGCTCGTCGTTCTGAGGGCCCAATGCCGGCAACCAGCACCGCCCTGCTCGGCACCAGTGCAAAGTGAGCATCACTAAAAGCCATGTTTGGAGTATCTCCCTGCTGACCAGATACCGTGTGAGCGGTGTGATCTGTGGGATCGGCTGCCTCAACCCTCCACGCACACCTTTGTGCACGGCAGTTCTCCCCGCAAACTGTGCTGTCAGAAGGGAGCCCGCACGAGACGCCTGCAGTACCGTCTTGCTGCAACTCTGCAGTTGGCTGCAGCCCCAACAGAGCGCGAAGCTGCGCTATCCAGGCACCGCTGACAACCGCGGCCTCCTGCAAATGCTGGGTGCTGAACTCCGATACCAGCTGAGGATCGGCTCCCAACTTTTTCAAAGGCGCACCGAAGGTGAGAAAGCCCCAAGAAGGAAGCGCTAAGGCAGAGCCTGGAGGCCACTCCTCTGCGAGCGACGACGGCCTGTATAGAGTGAGGTTCAGAATGGAGGCAGATGGGCTGTACTCGGGGTCCGATCCCCACTGCTCCTGCAAATTGAGCAATCGCCGAAGTGTCTCCTCTTGAAACGCCTCTTCTGCTCGCCCACCAACCCCCAACCCTCGTCGTTGCAGATCCCACTCCATTTCCCCCAGTCCGCTGTCAGCCACTACCTGCACCGACCCGACAAACAACGCAAATTTGTTGTACCATGGTGCATGCGGCCCAGCTGCACGTGGATGCAAGCATGGGCATGCAATGCGCCCCTTGCAGCTTCCACACAGCTTCATTAGTTCCCGGTAGGCACATTGCGGGGGACGCCTTCCTTTAGAAGCAGAAAGCGCACGGCAGCGGCAACGAGAGACGAACGAGCCGCAGCTACCCGCAGCAAAGAGCACCAGCAATCCGAATTACCTGAGAGGTGACCTGTATGTCGAGCAAAGTGCTGACAGCCTCCAGAAAGCCCCGCAAGCGCATGCGCAAGAAGCCCCCGACATCCCAATTAAGCTGCGAAAGGGCTGGAAGGCCTGAAGTCCGAGTAGGGAACCCCCCAGCAACAGTCTGCGCATCATCTCTTTCTGCCTCCCTGAGCCCATCACGCATGCTACCCCCGTCCTTTTCCTGGGGGTCCAAATATGCGTCTCCATCCTCGTCTTCTTCTCTGTCTACGTCACCTAGCACCCACAGGCGAAGGCGCAAATCGGCCGAGATCGCAGCATTGCCCCTTAGAGGCGACAACAACCACCGCCCCAGTGCCTGTGTTGCTGCCTCAGCTGCTATATGCTGCAGTGCAGCGTCGTTTTGGTCGCTGCCGCTACCACTTCTCTTGCTGGTTTTGCTGCTGCTGCCTTTGGGTATCATCAACACCATCGAAGAGCCAGCGCCTATGTGCAGTCGGGGCACTGCCCCTTCGTCAGCCTGAGTCGCCACAAATAGCTGCAGTGTACTGAGCCCCTCAACAGCCCCAGCCTCCACTGCATGCGCATCTGTATACGTGAGGGAGGCCCTCAAGGCCTCAGGACCTGACGCACAGGAAGCCGTCTCTTGCGTCGGAGGAGGCAAGATATTGACTGCTAGGAGGGCATTAGCACTGCCTGAGACCGACGACGCCTCGCGTCCGGCAGCCTCCAACACGGATGCAACAGGGATCGCAATACAGGTTGCATCTGTGTTAGAGGGAGCGCCGTGGGGTTCACCGAGAGACGCCAGGTGTCTGTACACCTGGCGAGCGGCAGGAACGGCATCGGGGCAAAGAGGTACTACATGCAGAGCTGTCAGCCACTGCAAGAGCTCCCCGTGCGAAGATGAGGTGGCAGGGCAAGAGGAAAGGTCCCCCAGAGGAGCGGCAGTTCCGGGGCCGTCCTTCCCGCCTAGCTGTGGCAAATGGCTGCGCAGCTGCTGGTGCCACCGCTCGCGATGTGCCAGTGCCCCTACCGAAACTGTACACTTCCCAAGCAACGAATCACGTGGTGTTAGTTCATCACTTGCGTCGGGTGGCAACGCATCTGTGGCTGCAGCGACTGCCGAAAAGAGTGGCGGGACTCCCACCTCGAGATAGGAACAAGGATCTGGGAGGTCGTGACGCTCTACCTGGACGCCTTGCCACCACAGCCAGCATAAGACAAGGTCAATGCATGTGAAGACGCCAAGAGCCAAAGGTCGCACCGGTGGACCCCAGGGCGTCATCCTCCTCCAGCACGAAGACGACTGTATCGTGCTCTGCTGACCTTAGGTTCTGATGGCAGGGAGAAAGCGAACAATTCCACAAGCTGAAGAAAAGACAGGGGAGCGCAGACTAACGGTATGTGTTGACCGCTGAAACGTCTCGGACAGACAGCGCATGCAGCATCGCGCAGCGCACCCAGCTTGTGATGCGAATACGAAACCTAGCAGGTGGAACCGCCTTCCGAAGAATAATAAATAAAGTTTCCTCTAAAGAAACGCAGAAGACTTCACCTGCAGATCGAAAAGCCACTCACACTCAGCCATTAGCGCACGCAAGCCATGGGCTGCCATCATATTCACGGCAGTGTTTGCCTCAGCCCTCTCGAGAAAACCTGCCATTCTGCTGCCGTCAATTGAAATTCGTTTCTTATAACCAAGAATATGCATTATTATTTTATTTGTTTTGTAGTTTCTGCATTTTCTCGGCGGCGTGCAGCAGCCGACCGCCAGACCTCGCCGCTACGAGCTGATAGACGTGGAAGGTCGCCCATGACGCTGTGCGCAGGTTGCTTAGATTAGATTCACTAACACGGCATAGCATACTCATTTGAATATTTGAATTTATGGGACCTAATCAGACAGTCATGACAGCGTTTTCCCGCAATAGACATGACTGTGCACTGTAGACCCCTACGGGGACCGACAGGGTCTCGCCGTAGAAGCAGCTCCGCTTTCATTTGGTTGAAACATCAGCGTAGGGCTTGTAAAGCTTTAGGCAGCTCAGCTGAAGCGCCGCAGGGAATCCCTTTTTCTGCAACCCCTCGGGGGGAAGGTGGCCAGCCGTTGCTGTATGCCAAGGCCATACTTAAATTTGGTGGTAGAGATGGAGGGGGAGCGTCCCCGAGACTAAATCTGTTTGGTGGCAGGCATATTGACAGTTCGTTCTTTGTTTTACCAACCGATGGTACTTGCTCACGTGGGCATGCATTTGGAGCGCCACCTATTGACCGCTTGCGGTCTGCTGTCTCCACTAGACACTGCGAGGGAAGGGCATCAAACCATCAAAAAAATGAACCCACACAACAGAATATGGTGCGCAATCGCTCCAGTGATGCGCATCCCACAATTCCGAATCAGCCAGGCTGCCCGGACAAAGGATCAGGAGGCTGCGCAAATTTGCCGTCGAAGTCAAGCAGGAACAGAACGACCATATCAGCGGAAGTAGAGCTAGTCTCTTCAGCAGCAGTCCAAACCATGCAGCACTCCCTAGGCGCAGCTGGTGAAACCTCGAGTATACTGTCTGAGGATTATGCGCCTGTGAGTGACACTCACAGCAGTCAGAAGGCAATACCGCTCCTACCGGCTGCAAAGGAAGCAGCATTAAATGCATCGTTCCAAACTTTTCCAATAAACCAGTTTGCAACCGCTCTTCATGCGGACCTAGTAGGGCACGCAAAGGAAGACAGAGTAGCAGAAGCAAACGAGCAGGGAACGCCAAGAAAACACACGCCAAGAAATCTTTTTGGGTGCAAGTGGATAGCTGAAGGTCAACCCGTTTGCTGCGCGCCTTCACGCAGTCCCGACCTCTCCAACTCTACTCTGGATCCGCATGAAAAGGCAATTTTGCGTTGTTCTAAAGAACCTCCAGCCGCCGCGAGCTCGTTAGAACAACAGCACAGCTATGATACCTGTGTGCCTAGCACGAAACCAATGTTTGAAGTGAATGAGGTGCATGCGCAACAATCCCCCAACCTTGAGCTTGACAGGTCATGCAACCTCTCGCCCGCCCAACAGACCAGCAAAACATTAAGTACATCCTCAACACACAAGTCACAGCGCAGCCAACACACACATGAACATCACTACCATACAGAAGAACTACGACGATCATCAGCAGGAAGCGACAGTCTCCAAATGCATATTGCCCATTCAAATCAACACGCCTCAGCTTACCATACGGGGACACTCGACGACGAAATCTCCTCAGTGGCAAGTCATGACCAGGACACTGCATTCGCTTCACGTCGGCAAGTTAGGCAGTCCTTCATAACCGACCCACGACAACGCGTTCTATTTACTCGCACCAATTCGGCAGAAAAGGAGAAACGCAGTAAGCATGAACATGAACACGAAGGCCGGAGAGAAGCACCGAGACGCTCATCAGCAGGAAGCCATAGCCTCCCACTCTTCATAGCGCGTTCCATTCAACAGCCAACATCACATCATGAAGAGGAACCATCATCCGACGAAATCACCTCGATTACAAGTGAAACGCAGGACACTGTTTTCTCTTCACGTCGGCAAGTTAGACAGTCCTTCATAACCGACCCACGCCAACGCGTTCTATTTACTCGCACCAACTCTGCGGAAAAGGAGAAACGCAGTCAGCACGCACATGAACACGAAGGCCGGAGAGAAGCACCGAGACGCTCATCAGCGGGGAGCCACAGCCTACCCATGTTCATAGCACGCTCGCATCAGCAACCACCGCACCAGGTTGCCTATGCTTCTGCCGACGAAAGGCCCGCTCGCGCAGATGAAACGCACGAGGCAGGGTTCTCTTCACGTCGGCAAGTTAGGCAGTCCTTCATAACCGACCCACGACAGCGTGTTCTATTTACTCGCACCAATTCGGCAGAAAAGGAGAAACGCAGTCAACACGGACATCAACACGAAAGCCGGAGAGAAGCACCGAGACGCTCATCAGCAGGAAGCCATAGCCTGCCACTCTTCATAGTGCGGTCCAACCAACAGCAGAGACGCTATGACTCAGACGCATCCTACGATGAAACATCCTCAGTGACGAGTGACAAGCAGGACTCTG